AACAATAGGTATTGGGCTCAGGCCCAACACCTAATTAGTAAATCTTACATGTATGTATCACAGCTGATTTCTTATTGTGAATGGCATGTACACAGCAGTTAATTAATTTGATGTGTGATATACAAGTGTGCTTCTGTGGCAATTTCCTAAGCATTTTGTCACACATGCCTAAGTAAAAAACACCAACTGAGAAATTCTGATAATAAAGCATTTGATCATTTATTCAAATGATAAAATGTCTTATTGTTGTAGCCCAGAGCGCCAGCCTAGCAATCAACCAGATGTCATGCTTGGGTGACCAAGCCGCTGTAGTGTTTCTACCGATAGGGGACTTACTGATCAGGCCGTTCCCATGCGGTACTCGAATGGTGTCTAATTGGATTTTCATACCGTTACACTATACGTGCATGTTTAATTGGTTGTTCAGTACTTTGCTGGAACAGTTTTGGCAACATCAAGATGACGTCATCACATGGCATGTGACATCATATTTAAAGTGCATATTATGAAGGCTTATATCTACAGAACCACAGCCTCAGTGGCGCACCCAGGTTTTTTTTCAAATTTTTTAGAAGTTTGTTTGTTTGTTTGTTTGTTTGTTTGTTTTGGGGTGGTTTTCTTTTTTTTTTGGGGGGGGGCACTATTTTGATGGTGGTGGCACCACTTGCGCCCCTATTATACTACTCGAAAATAGGCCACATACATATCACCAAGGTCAAATCATGGACAGCCTACAGAATGACAGCTCCGATTGGGTTGAAAGTTGGTATGTATCCAGACCGGGATGTGTTACAGATGAAAATTGAGGTGACGTCATTACATGACGGGACTTCATATTAAAAGTGCATATTTTGAAGGCTTGTATCTACAGAATGACAGGTCTGATAGGGTTGAAAGTTGGTGTGTACCTAGACTGGGATGTGTTATAGATGAACAATGAAGTGACGTCACAATGACGACATCACATGAAATGTGACTTCATTTTAAATGCATATTTTTATAACTTTGCGACTTTCTACTGCACATCTATGTCCTATCAGTCTATAAGATGACATAAAAATACAACGATAAATTGCCGAAACAGCCACTTGTTTGTCCACGTATGCATTTGTTTTCTTGTTCTTTTTTTACTTTCTAATGGTATACAGTATTTGTCACTCTTTCACATCACAAGAGTCTCTTGCTGAAATTGTAAACAACATTCAATTACACTCTTATTGTGAACAGGTTTACCTCCTGTGTCTGAAGGCGATGTTGGTAATCTTGATGCAGCGACACCAATGGACCTTTGGAAGCTAGCATACACATCTTTCTTTCCACAGCAGGTATGACTATCACTGTCAATTTGTAATGTGTGTGCTTTGAAAGAATAAGGATGTAACAGTTTAATGAAGTAATGACATAGAATCAAGTACAATTAAAAACTTGAATAACAAATGGTTAGAAGAAAATTTAAAAAAAAACAGGGAATGTTGAAATGGAAATAAAAAAGAAGATAACACCAAAATAACACACAAAAAAATTATTTTTAAATTTTTATCAAACACATTTCTTTCCTCTTCATGACTGAAATGAAAAATAATATAAGTATTGAACGAGATAAGATAACAATTTAAGTTTGCGTTTAAAAAAATCATAAATATGACCTTGAACATCTAAGAGAGAATGGAACATTACTCCATATTTTAGGTCCGGAGTATTCAATGTATTGAAAGGCAGAAGTTCTATGTTGCGATAATTGGAAATGTAAGTTATTAGACACACGAGTGTTATATTTATGTAAATTGCAGTTTAAACACAAATATGTTTGAATAGGAAATGGGCAGTAAATTGTTTTTAAACTTGTGCACAAATATAGCTTGCTTTTATTTTTAGGTCTAGATAGGGCTAGAGTTAGCAATGATAGTGTGATATAATACACGACTAGTCTACTTCACTCAACTTTTCTGTAGAGCAGCAGAGTTTGCAAAATAGTGCCTTCTTTTTCCTTTTTTCTCTTAGCGGCAGGTTGGGTTGGACATGCTTAAAATACGCTTACAAGTATTGTTTGTCGTTTTTCTGCTACCCTATATTGCTTAAGAGAAGATTTGATTAAAAGAGTTATCAGTAGAGTTATGGTTTTGGTCTTGTGAGATAATTTCTTAAAAATGAGTCATCTGGAGAGGACTGGCCTTGCCACATTTGGGGAATGAACCACCCCCCCCCCCCCCGGGACACATCGAGTTCTTGGGAGTCGTTGCCGGTAGCGCTGAGCTGTTAATGTGTCAGCAGTCTCCTGTCCGGCATCCACAGCCATGGTCGGGTACCCTCCACTAATTAATGATGGACCCCAGCCTGAATATAAATCTTCAAGCGCTGGACAAGTTCTACAATGAGCGACGACAAGATTTTCCTGATGCCTCCTTTAGATCAGGCATGTATGGTTGAATTTACAAGACAATGCTACTAACAAATGACAACTATTTTCCACCAAACGAGAATATGATTATTATTTGGAAGTGTACAAGGACGCGGAGAATGTTAACGATACAACACTTTTATCACTTCTTATCAAACATGGCACACTTCCCGCCAACGCCTGCTAGAGGGCACTATATAAACACAACATCTCCCCTGTCTGGATTCACATTTCTGAAACTTAAGTGTCTACATCACTCTACTTACCTGTAGAGCGAATACTACCTATGCATTGTTCCCTATGCCGGCAGGCAATTTGCTAAGAGTTTTACACACAATAGTGCCCTCACGTGTCCTACCCACTACGCCCTGTGACATGCGCACTATGTTAGCGTCCTCTTTTTCTCTTAGCCGCAGGCGAGGTATATCGACCTGAATTTCACTGTTTTATTTATGCCTTTTTGCTGTGAGAAAGCTATTTATAAGAAATAAAGAGAAAGTGTTTATTGTAGAGTTATTATAGTGAGTTATTCTAAGTGAAGTGAAGTAAGAAATGAGTAAATCTAGGAAGTTGGGGAGGACTGGGTGTGTCGATAATGGAGGGACGTACATCCCACCAGACAAGCCCAAGTTCTCGGGGGACTGCACCGGTGATGGTACGTCAATGTGGCAGCAGTCCCCTAGTCGGCCCCTTCAGCCACTACCGGCTGTCGGAGCTGACGGACCCGTTGACCAAGCGAGGGGCCGTACAACCCCACCGTCTTCGGTCAATATTCACGGTGCCACCCAGCTGAAGGGGAAACGCACTGGCAAGACAAGGAAATTGTCTGAAGCCGGGGCAGTACCCAAAAAGGGACGTGCGGCAAAAGGTGGCTCCACTACGGGGCGTACCGTGCCCGTCCCTAGCCCGTCTACGGGTCACTCACAGCCGGAGGAAGTACTCCTCCATGGCTCAGTGCACCCAGGCCCACCCAGCCCCGTGATTACCACGATGCCTGGGGATGGGCTTTTATACGGCCGGCTCGACCGTGCAGCACCCGCCTAAGTTACCGGGGCGGGGGCGCTGTCGGCCGCCCGGGCTATTGATCGCATAGAGCAGACTTCCTGGGATTCCCCCGGAGCGTTAACGCCCGGAGCGTTAACGCTACGCTCAGAGGGCCATGCCTCTACATCAGATTTTATCTGTTGTTTGGGCATTCCCGTGTCCCCGCAATCCTCGGAAAGTACTCAGAGCCGATCTTCTAAAAAAGAAAAAAGCGAAAAAAGAACCGCCGTCCCCGCCGTTCTTCAACAAGTTCTAGCGGGTCATCCGGTCGATTACACCGTGGGAAACGCCACAAGGGTGGCGACCCAATTTCGCGCAATGATTTTTTGGAGGCTTTTCAGAAACTCCCTCGCGGCCTCATTGTCGGGCTGACAGGGAGACTACAGTCACAGCTGTATGACTCCAGGCCAAAGGGACATACCACACACGGTTAGCCGTGTGCCGGAGTGGGGTGACTACAGGCCAGCGGACAATGCCGCGCACGGAGAGCAGTGCACCGGCGTCCCCGCCCGGTATTAGTTTACACCCATCGGTGTCACTAAAGTCCAAGCGGGGCTCGATACCGGGACACCGTGACGGCGCTGCTTCGCCCCCGAGGCCTGGTTCCCATTCCCCGGTGACAACCCCCCCCCGTACTCTGACAACTCGGCGGACGAGAGCGAACTGACCCGCACCATGCAACGCCTATCGGTGGCTGAGACCGAACTCCGCTTGGTTCAACGGGATATTATCAGGGACCTGAATCTCCCTGCTGGTACCGAACCTCCTCCTCCTGAGCGTCGGTCGTTCAAGAAGAGATCGGGACTGACGGCAGAACCGGTCCGGGCTTTTCCCACAATGCCGCTGGACCGTGTGTGGTTGACCACATAGACGGGATAATGCACGCAAAGACATGGAGTGCCTACGCTAAGCGCGTAGACTCTTATTATCATTTTCCCCCAGGGGATTTTGAGAAATATTTTTCAACTCCAGTCCTGCCGGACTTGGCCATCGACAAACTTGCCGCTGACCGAGGGACGGCTTCCTCCAAGGTTCCCTTTACGGACAAGACCCATGGAAAGCTAGAGGATGTCACCCTTAGAATGGACTCGTCGGCACCTATGGGTATGCGTGCGACGTCTTTTCTTCTTCTCCTGTCCGAGTACATGGCCTTGGGGTATGAAGAAGACTCGGTGATACCATCCGACATGATGGTGGCAGCTCTCCATTGCCTCGATCACGGCCTATGCTCCACTCTCGACCAGTTCGCTAGAGTGTCGACCTTGGCAACATCGTCACACCGCGCCAATGTGCTAGATGCGCTTTTCCTTCCTTCACCTGGAGCACGTAAGCGTCTCGACGACCTTCCGCTCTCAGGCCCGGACTTATTTTCTGGTAAGTTCCAGGAGTCCATGGAGGCCGAAGCAAAGCGCCTCAAGGCCACTGAGAAAATAAATCTCAAGAAACCGGCCGAGCCAAAAACCACGGATAAGACAAAGAAGCAACCCTCTTTTGTCATTCCCCGGTGTTCACCCGGATCGTCTTCACAATCCAGGTGGCACTGCGGCGACGAGGGATCATGATATTCATGTACCTCGACGATGAGCTAGTATTGGGTCGTTCTCGGGGGAAGACGGAAGGGGCGCTCCGACTAACGTGGCACCTTGCTTCCGACCTCGGATTTCTCATCAACACCAAGAAATCCCATCCAGTCCCCTTGCAGGTTCCCACCTTTCTAGGTGCATCCCTCGATCTTCGCAGGGGACTGGCCCGCCCATCGGAGGACCGCCTGCTGAACCTTCGGCAGTGCTTGTCCCTCTTCCTCCCGACGGTAGTGGCTCGGCCCAAGCCTGGCTCAGGCTGTTGGGCCTTATGGCCAGTTTGGTGGACTTAGTGGATTTTTGCAGGTTGAGGATGAGGCCAATTCAACTTCACCTGCTTTCTTTCTACAAACCCCGTTGGCACCCGATCGACCATCCGGTGCCCACTTCGTCTTGGCTAGTCCCCCACCTTCGTTGGTGGCTAGTCGAGGCCCACATAACGCAGGGCTGCATTTTCCGCCCACCCCGCCCGTCGGTACTTATCACGACCAACGCGTCAGGGTACGGCTGGGGGGCTACCCTCCACCCGCAACAGGTGGCGGGCGTGTGGGGCCCCGAACACCAATCATCCCACATCAACGTCCTGGAAATGCTGGCAGTTGCCAACGCACTAAAACATTTCCAGTCGGACGTCAGAGGGCAAGCAGTCCTGGTACGATGCGACAACGCCACAGTGTTGGCATACATCAATCACCAGGGGGGCACTCGGTCAGGCCATCTGTGTGCACTAACGTGGGATCTCACCCTCTGGTGCATACATCACGGGATAGCACTGTCGGCAGTCCACATCCCGGGCGAAGAGAACGTCACAGCCGACGCTCTCTCCAGAGGCTGGATCGCCACGACAGAGTGGTCACTGCTCCCACAGGTGGCTCAGTCGATCTTCCGATTAATCGACCGGCCTCATGTGGACCTATTCGCATCGCGAATGAACAATCAGCTACCGATCTACTGCACGAGGGGCCCAGACCCCAACGCGTGGCAGACCGATGCGCTGTCGGTGCGGTGGGACAGCCTACTGGCCTACGCCTTCCCACCCATCTCCCTCGTTTCTCGAGTGCTGACCAAGATCGAGCAGGAGGATTGCGGAATCCTCCTCATAGCCCTGTTCTGGCCCCGCCAGCCGTGGTTCCCCTGGCTCGTCCGGCTCTTGGTTCACCGCCCGGTAATTCTACCGAGGAGGGCCGATCTCCTTTATCAGCCCAGCTCGGGAATCAGTCACCAGGCTCCGGGGGATCTTCACCTGACATGCTGGGTATTGTCACGCGATCCCTCTGCTCAGCAGGCCTTTCGCGACGAGCTGCAACAATTGCAGCCCAGTCCTGCAGAGCCTCAACCAGAAAGGTGTACGATAGCCGACTACGCCTTTTCTTTAAATGGTGTAGACGGCAATCCATTCATTCCCCCAATACTTCAGTAAGGGAAGTGGGGGATTTCCTCCTAGACCTTTTGAACAGTGGGCTCACGACGGCCACGGTCAAAAATTATCGATCGGCCGTTGCCGCAATTCATCAAGGGTTTCCGGACGGTTCTTCCGTTTCCGGCAACCCTGCAATCAGCCAACTGATCAAGGGGATGTTTAATACTCGTCCCCCAGTACGCGCATTAATCCCATCTTGGGACCTCTTCAGTGTACTATCCACACTGGCGAAGGCCCCTTTTGAACCAATGGCAATTGCTCAACTTTGTTACAACTCTCCATCAAAGTAGTTTTTCTGTTGGCTGTCGCTATGTCCCGACGACGTAGCAAACTACACTCATTGTCGGTGCAGACAAGACACATCCGGTGGGAACCGGGGGGTGTCCGCCTGATCCCTACGGCCGGTTTTCTTGCGAAGAACCAGTCGGAAGCTTTTACGCCCCCAGACATCTTTGTCCCGGAGATCAAGTCTTTTTCGACCGAGACAAACGACAAACTTTGGTGCCCAGTTCGAGCACTTAAGTGGTATGTCAACCGAACGAAGTCACTTCGTATGGGCCGGCGTCCCGCGATACAATCACCCGCTGGATCGTGACGGCCATTCATTCCGTGCCGGGCAGCTGGCCAGCGAACGAGGGACCCATTCGAGCGCATGAGGTCAGGGGAGTGTCCACCTCGTGGGCCTGTTTTAAGGGTGTCCCCCTAGGTGACATCGTCAAGGCAGCCTGCTGGAAGAACCCTAACACGTTCTTTGAATGCTACCTGAAGGATGTCCTCCAGGCAGATGGCAAGGCTGGAAGAGAAGTGCTGAAGGCGGGTAGTCGAGCCTCACAGAAGCACTAACGGGTGAGCATATACATATATACATTAAGTCCAATGAGGTGTACCTATCATGTGTTTATCCCCATAATGGTGACACCCCCCCCCCCCCGACCTTTTTGCGCACGAGCTAGAGCGTCTGGGTTTTTTTGGTTTTTGTTTTGTTTTGTTTGCCTTCGGACACGCCTTATGTCCTACCCCCCTGTAGACATACGGTAATTCGCGTATACCCACCGCCTTACTTGGTGCGAGTCTATGCATAGGTAGTATTCGCTTTACAGGTAAGTAGAGTGATGTAGACTCCCCCCCCCCCCCCCCCCCCACAGTAGTGTGGTTGGGGTCTGCGAGCAAATACTTACACGTAGAGCACCCCTCCCTCCTTCCCCACTATACTCGATTCCTTGAGTGCTTACGCAGGTGACGCTTGAGAAAAAGAGGATGCTAACGTAGTGCGCATGTCACAGGGCGTCGTGGGTAGGACACGTGAGGGCGCTATTGTGTGTTAAACTCTTAGCAAATTGCCTGCCGGCATAGGGAACAATGCATAGGTAGTATTCGCTCTACAGGTAAGTATTCGCTCGTAGACCCCAACCACACTACTGTGGGGGGGGGGATTTAAGTGATCCTCATAACTTGTTATGTCACAAAGAAAATGTCTTTCTTTCTGTTTTTCAAATTGCAATATGATCAATTAACTTGAAGGAGAGGAGTGTGAAATTATACAATTTTAAGCAAAAAAATGTGTGAAAATAAATGATACGTAATTCCCAATTGAGTCCAGGACATTTTATGTCAAAGAGTTCAATTGAAGAACATGTGTGTGTCCCACTGAAATGATTACAAAAAGTGTCTTTACTTGTGATTGTCCTTGGCCCAGACTGGTGGCGTGTGAGACCTGGTAGAATGTCGTGCGGTTGCAGGTTGGTTCAAAACTTCAGGACTGGGTTGATTTGGCAATTGAGTGGGAGTCATGAGTGGCTGGACATGCGCTCAACTTGGAGGCGTTCTAAACTCATCCATCTTGGAGCATGTATGTGAACGGTCCCTTGGATTTCACAATAAGCTTAGGAGCTGAGAATTTCCATGAAGTCTTTAACTTCAGAGTTGGTATTCTTACACCAACGTAGTCACCCATGCAAAATTTAGGCAACTTTGCACCACGTTTACTATGTTGTATTGCGTGACAGTTCTTGTTTGCCTGCAAATTGATCACGGACGGAAGAATTGGCGGCGTGTTTAGGGCGTCATTGCGAATGTTCATCCGTGTCACCATTTTGCGATTATGTAGCAGTTCTGACTGGGATTTTCTTGTGGTCTGGTGAGGTGTAGCATGGTATGCGGTCAGTAAATCGATGATAGCGGTTTTCCATGAAGTGTGTTCCATTGTTCGACCTCACCATTTGCTTTGGGGTAAAAGAGCAATGATTTGTGCTTGATGCCCAGGTTTCCGAGGCAGGTTTCAAACTTTAGCAGAGTCAAACTGAGTCCCGTTATCTGAGATGAGTTCCAGAGGTAAACCTTCACGAGCGAAGATCGAAGTTAACATGTTGACGACTGTACGCATAGTAACTTGCAAGGCCTATGCTATATCCCAGGAAGTGTAGTGAGGATAGATTGAACTGACACTTGGCTGGATTGAGAGTCTGTCCTACATCCTGTTTACGTTTCAGGACTACTGCAAGATGCTTGTCATGTTCAGCCTGATTCTGACCATACACACAACAACATCGTCCAAGTAGGCCGGTACACTTGGCAGCACACTCAGTACTGACGCATCAATTCTGGAAAGCTGCAGGTGCTGAAACGAGACCAAAACAAACACGTTTAAAGCGAAACAGTCCTTCGTGAGTTATGAATGCAGTGTAGTCACATGGCTGTTCTGCCAACACTAGCTGATGAAAAGCAGATTTGAGGTCCAGTGTACTGAAAACTATGGTGTGTCGGAGTTCTGTGAACAGTTCCTGTAGGTCAGGGATAGGAAAACTGTCGATGATTACTGTGCAATTGACATGGCGCAGATTGACACAAAGGCGAATGTCACTAGATTTCTTGTAAGAAACTATGATAGGTGGAACCCACTCGATGGCATCAATGCGCTCAATTTTCCAGGGAGTGACAGACAAACCACCAAGTGACACATAGAAGCTCCTGTTGTGGACATAGCAGAAGGGGAAAAAATTCAGTCTTTGCAAACAAACAGACAGATGTACCAGGGGTGCATAAGGTGAAAGGTTGAAAGGTACTCCACAGATGCCATAAGGTCATCAAACATTTGAAACATGTCGAGAGCTATTCTCAAGCAGTGAAATGTCACTGACTCACTCAGTTGTAAACATTATGAATGGTTAAACATTGATAATCATAATTTTTTTCCAGAGTGTTGGAGGCAAGATGTCAATTGACAACACAGGTAGAGATACACAGTTCAAGGAACAAGCTGTGGATATGATGCGAGAACAGAAAGATAAAGTAAGTCAATTTCATCAAATGTAATCACAAAATAAACTCATTTTAAACATTTGTGTATATGAATATGAAAAAATGAAACAAGTGGGTGTTACATCAACCCCATTACCAGGTGGGTGCTTGACTTCCACATTGTTTTTTCTTTTAAGTCAATATTCATATTGAAATTTTTAAATAATTAATTTTTCAAAACGGAAGTATAATTAACAATTGTTGACTGATGTGATTTGGGATATGATGCTTTTCACACTTGAGGGTTGCATTGCATGACACATGAGGTGAAGCTAGGGGGTGCTTTGGTCCCCGAGGGGATAAAAAAAAATGGCATAGCCCAAATCACAGCAATCAACAAATGCATGTTATATTTACTTCTAAAACTGAATAGAATAATAAAAATATTTTTTTCTTGACATGATTTTAAAAAATGGAAGAATCATAAAATATTGATGTAATAAAAAAAATGCATGCAAAATGACAATTTTGTGTTAACCATACAATTGTGTAACGTCCAAAACACTTTTTCTGTGCTACGAGAAATTGTTGGATTTAAACTATCTAATTGACCAGCCAAAAGAGCCTTTGTTTTTTTTCAATTTTTTATGCCCCGCGGCGAAGCCGAAGGGGCATACTGTTTCTGCCTTGTCCTTCCGTGGGGGGGTGTGTGGGTGGGTGTGTGGGTGGGTGGGTGTGTGTGTGTGTCCGGACAAATCTTGTCAGCGCGATAACTTGAGAAATACTTAACATATGAACTTCAAATTTGGTTTGTGGATTGTTCTTGGTAATCCTAAGAAGCCTTTTGCATTTGGGGCCAAAAGGCCAAAGGTCAAGTTCACAGTCGCTAAAACAATAGAAATCTTGTCAGCGCGATAACTTGAGAAATACTTTACATGTGAACTTCAAATTTGGTTTGTGGATTGTTTTTGGCAATCCTAAGAAGCCTTTCGCATTTGGGGCCAAAAGGCCTAAGGTCAAGTTCACAGTGGCTAAAACAATAGAAATCTTGTCAGCGCGATAACTTGAGAAATACTTTACATGTGAACTTCAAATTTGGTTTGTGGATTGTTCTTGGCAATCCTAAAAAGCCTATTGCATTTGGGGCCAAAAGGTCAAGGGTCAAGTTCACAGTGGCTAAAACAATAGAAATCATGTATTTATTCTGAGATTATAGGGATTAGGGATTAATTCATATAAAACCTACAGAAGACACTAATGCTGTCAATGAATGTTCCATGTGACCAAGGTACATGTAAGTTGATGTTAAAAGAGTGGTGTTATGTCATGGGAACTGTCACCGTTGTGGGGCATTTGTGTTTGTAAACACACCTGACTTGTTTAATTTTTTTTTTTCCTTTAGAGTTGTTGCGATTGATTGAGAGGTTGGGCACAACCCGACCACTCTCTATTAGGTCAAAAAGTCTCCGGTTTCTGGTATGGAGCTTGCCCAAAAAGTGGTGCAGCCGTTGCTGCTTTTTTTTTTTTTTACCATTTTTTCTTCAAATGTCGGCTGATTACTGCAAATGGTGCCCGACTAAACTTAGTGCAAATATATGGGAGTCAAGAGAGGCCACATAAAGCTTATACTCGATCGTCACCCCATCTAAAAACATGTTAAAATTGTGAAGCAGCAGGATTCCAGTCAAACCAGTGAGTTTGGCGGTTTTGAGACATCATCTTTCATTGAAAAAAAAAACGTTTTCACTTTGCCAACGTGCATGGCTACGATGACGCGTGCACATACCAGAAACCAGAGATGTTTTTTTGTTGGCCTTATTGTTCGGATTCATTTTTTTTTTTTTTTCCTGGACAATACTTCTCCGCGGGTTTTCTCCTAAAATGGTATGAACTTGTAACTTTCAACATATATTGACCCTCATCCCTAGTGGTGCATATTACTCTGACATCATTATGACGTCATCGGGTGTCAAATTACAAGCGATTTTCGTTGAAAAAAAGACAATGTTCTTTCACCTATAACTCTTGAACAAAACGATCAATTATGTTCCAACCTTGTAATCAGATGGACCATACCTTGATAAACATTTTTGATTTTGAAGTGAAGTCGTTTGACCTTTACTTCCGGGTCTACCGGAAGGTCAAAGTAAGGTGAATTCAAAATGAAGACATTAGCCTGAAATTAAAACAATTTTACGGGATGATCATAAAACGGTTTACGGGATGATCATAAAACGGTTTACGGGATGATCATAAAACCTAGCGTGAACTTGTACCGTGTTACGAAGATGTTATCAATTTTGTAACCTCATCATGACGTAACCAGGTATCAAATTACAAGTGATTAAAGATTTCTAGATTTAATCTTTGAAAATCAATATAAAATTAACCGTGAGAGACCTGAACTTGATTTTTATGGGAATTGATACAATAATCCAGGATCTTCATTTTATCTCGTGTGCGCCTAATCGCGTGACCCTTCCCCTCGGTCGAAACCGGAAGTGCCTTATAATTTGAAGGTGAAAAAAGATGTGAACTAGCTTTCAAAGATGTTAGTCGCTAGGTAGATTGTACTTTAGGAAAAAAATACCAGTGACATCATAAAA